ACCTAGCTGAGGTTTGATAATTAACAATATCAGAGTAAAAGCTACTCTCTGAATATTTGGGGCATTAAGCCTTCACCATTATGGTCTAAAAACATATACTGTTTAACATCGACTTTGCAACAGGTGTACAATACTTTTCCAAAAACAATGGAATACTTTTTTGGACGATATATCAACTCTTTTGCCGAGGCTGAAAAAGTTTGTGATTATATCCGTGAGAAGGTGGAATTGCACAAGAAGACATTGGATCCCCAGAATCCACGTGACTATATTGATTGCTTCCTTCATAGAATGGAAAAGGTAGGCAAAGATACCATTTCTGCATAATTGTCTAAATATCTCCAATATGTATCTAAGATGAAACAAGTTCACCTCGTATGAAAGAATATGAAAATGTTTATTCCCCCTTCTTTCTTACTTTAATTTGCCATTTGTTAACATGTACTCCTATGCCCGACATAATTAAAAATGAATAAATATAGACATTTGCTTTACATGCTAATTTACATATCTTCTACACTCTTAATAGGTGATATAAAGATAATCATTCATCTTGCAGGAGCAATTTCTATTAGAATTAGTCTCTCAGATATAACATTCAAGCTTCTAGGCTCAGATCTAATCCTGTTTTCCCATCATACAGTTTAAGAGTTCCTTTTGTCCAGCTCTAAATAACAACCTTTAATTCTGGTAATTTCTTGTGGTAAATATTTGATAGGTATATCAGAGAGGCAAGTTGTTTCCTCTCTGCATCAAACGGTGATTGCATAAATGCTTTACAATTGAAAAATTCTCCTATATATTCTAAAGTTAGTCTGGTAGAATTAAGTTTCCTTTATAACTGAAAGAGACACTATGAAGAGTTTCATGAATTACTTTAAATCAACCCCATTTTCATCCTTATGTTTCCCTTTCTATTTTCTTTTTGGGAGCAGAACTCATCTGAGGGAATCTACACTCCTGAAGATCTTGTGATTACTGTGCTTGGTCTCTTTACTGCTGGGACAATAGCCACAAGCCAAACTTTGCTATGCAGCCTCCTAGCAATGGCTAAATTGCCACACATTCAAGGTACAGAAATAACCACAAATATATAAAGATGTCAACTCTTTAGGGCAGGGGTCTTCAAACTTGGCTGGCTGAGGAATTCTGGGAGCTGAAGTCCACAAATCATAAAAGGGCCAAGTCTGAAGACCCCTGCTTTAGGGTCTCCAGTATTAATCCTGGAAAAAATAAAGTAAGGATGCTGTTGAGTAAAGTAAACTCATTGCAGATGCATTTCTGCAGTTTACCTGGGAAGTTTTGGGAAGTTTTTGCCAAGATCTTCTTACAGAATGTTTTGTTTTGTTTTGTTTTGTTTATTTCCCAGTTTAACTAACATGCCCTTGGAACAACTGGGCTTCCATCAAATCTTGAGATTACATGAAGACAATTCTAGTAAAATAATATCCACTAGATCAAGGGTCCCCAATCCTGAGTCCTTGGAACAGTATTGTTGGGAACCAGGCCATGCAAGCAGGGGGCGAGTGCTTGAGGCTTCATTTGAGCATGCGTGGGAGTTAAGTTGCGCATGCGAAACCAAACCCTCCCTCCTGCCGCCACTATAGCTGTCGGTCCATGGAGCCAGAGAGGTTGGGGACCACTGCTTTAGATCATGAAGAGGCAAGATGTGATTGAATGCTTTGTGCCACTTGTAGCTTTTGTATTGATTGTGAGGTTAGTGTTCATGTTTCACTGGCATATGCTAGAGCAGGTGGTACACACTGATCAAAAACTTTTCTCTTCAGGCATAGGGGGAAGTTGTTCTTGAAAATTATACTTAGCTTGCTGAATGCCTACCAACATATCGATCAATTTCTTTTATTGTATCACCTTCCATTGACATCCATTGGCCAAGATATATGCAGTGGTCTACTATATCTAGTTCTTCTTCAGATATTTTTTTTCTTTCTTTGGTGAATTTATTAAACATAACCTGGCTCTTTTTCAGGTTTATTTTTTAGCCAAATGGTTCTCCTGTTTTGTGCAGCTCTCATATGTCTCTTTATAGCTCTTCTGGATCTTGGGAGAAGAGAACAATATCATTTGCAAATCTTAAGTGATTTAAATAAGTGCCAGTGATTTTTATTCCATTTTTTG